AAAATAACCAGCTTAAAATAATCAATATCCCCCAAAAGGGTGTATTTTGTGGTGTCAAATTCTGCTCCCCCTCAGTATGACATAAGGACGACCCAGTTTTTGTTTTGTGACTACAGGGCAGAATATAACTTTTATATTCTCACATGCGCACGCACACACGTTCATATTCATTCCTGTTACGCTTTCTTTCTTTCTTTTTTTTTTTTCTGTTAGAGAAAGCACTAGGGGAGAAGTACACACTTGTCTTGGGCCTTGGCTTCCATAGGCGCAGTGCCTATGCCTCTAGTGTGTCACTGTGTCAATTCTGCCAAAATACTCTTGGAACCTGACATATACTGTGACAGCCTCTTTTCCGATTTGATTTTTGGATCCAAAACATACCTCCCAGCCCATTTGAGCCCTCACCGGTTTATGACCAGAGAATATATGTTAACTTCCTCAAAACTTAGTATCGCTTGTTCTCTCAGGTCTTAGAAACCAAACTCAGACTTCAGATCGGCTGGCCTGACATTGAACAATGAGCAGCTTTAATTGTGCAGAGCAATGCAATTTGTAAAACACCACCATGGCCATTGATGTTCTGCAGAGCTAGTTTCTGTTCACTGCTCCACTTCACTATGAGTATATCATTTACAGAAATGTGTAAAACTAATGCAGAGTAATAAATCTCTACGGACTTTTAACACTTCATCTGACTGAATACTGTGAGGGCTATAAAATTAGGGAACTAAGATTGATACAGAAATTCACCAATTATGAGAATTTAAAATAGGTGATTTTTTTTTTTTTTAAAGAATGGGACTGAGAATTTTTAATTTGTTTTGCCGACACTGAATATGGGATAGCAAGTATTTTGGGCATGCAAATCTTCTAATGGAAAAACCATTGGTGTAGAGACAAGTTTTCTGGTCTTTATTATATTACTGTAAATTGCCCATCCTGTAGTATATAACAGAATATTTTATGTGTATACATTCTTTTCAAATCTGCATTTGGTAGATAAGTAAATATCTGTGTAAACAAAACCTAGCGTATTAGGTTTTTTTTTCTTTATTGATTTTTAGAGAGAGAGGAAGGGAGAGAGAGATAGAAACAACAATGAGAGAGAAAATCAATCGGCTGCCTCCTGCATGCCCCCCACTGGGGATCAGGCCCACAACCTGGGCATATGTCCTGGCCAGGAATTGAACCGGTGACCTCTTGGTGCATGGGTCAACGCTCAACCACTGAGCCACACCGGCCGGGCCAAGCCTATTATTTTAATAGCCATTAATAGGTATCTATAAAAGTGTTTTTCATTTTTTAAAATTCCCCATATTCTAGTCTTGTTCAGTGAGAAAGAAGGAAATGGTATCGGGCCATCTACATAGTTCCTGAGTTTAGCTCGCCTATAAGGCAGGCCCTAATTTTTGGACAGTGGATTCTAGCTGTTTACTGAGAGACACAACACCATAAGCATGTTTATCGCTCCAAAATGCATAGTGCTGAACCTTGAAAAGTGCCCCGGGCTTCTTTGACTGCGGTAGCCATATAGAACCACTCTTTCAGCTTCCTGATTGATGCTCATCTGGTCAGCGAGTTAAAGCTTTGGTCCTGGGCAGCCTGCCTGAGTGAATCTTTCCAAATGGATATAATGACAACAATCCCTAAACTTGGCACCGTCCACCAGAGATAAAGCTTTAATACTTCAGTCTGAACCCCAGCCTCTGGCCAGGACAGTGGCAGACACGGCCCAATTCTAGTCTCTCTTGGAAAATAAAATGGCTTTTCTGTTTGAGCAGGCATATCTATGGTTGTGGACCAAAGGGAAGGGTAGCAGTATCACAATAGTGGCGGTGCTGGTGATGTGCCTTTTTGACTTTATGTCCAGAGTGACTTTTTCATTGGTCACAACCCTCAGTGCTAAAATTAAATATAGGACATTTAGAAGAACATCAGAACTCGTTGTATTCATTTACTTTTTAGAACTCTTTCCTGGGCTATAAGAGGTTCCCTTCCTAATTAACTTCTGGACGCTTTTAATAACTGTTATTCTCCTGGTGGCTTCTATTGCATTTCATATGGTGTTCCATATGGAATAAAGTTTTAAAGAAGTTCAACATGATGTGAGATTAGGATTTTTTTTTTAAAGTTTTCTCGTGCTAAATTGGATAGCCATCACTTGGTGCTCCTGTATTAATCATTAGATTGACTTCGTTATAAATGTATTATTGTCTGAGAGACCTTTACCTAGAAAACATTCAACATTTAAAAAGCTACGGAAAGTCTAGATCAGGGTTCAGCAAACTACACTCGGAGAGTCAAAACCAGTCCACCGCCCTGGCCAGTTTGGCTCAGCAGTTGGAGCGTCAGCCCGCGGACCAATGAGTCTCAGGTTCGATTCTGGTCAAGGGCTCATACCTCGGCTGTGGTCAGTCCCCAGCCCTGGTTGGGTTGTACAGGAGGCAACCAGTCAATGTAGCTCTATCACATCGATGTTTCTCTCTGTCTCTCTCCCTCCCTCCTACTCTATCTGATAATAAACAGAAAAATATCCTCAGGTGAGGAATAAAAAAAAAGTTTTATTGGAGCATTGCCATGTTCATTCGTTTATGTATTGTCTATAGCTGTTTTCACACTGTATGGCGTAGCTGAGTAGTTGCAACAGAGATCATGACCCACAGAACCAAAAATATTTGCTATCTGGCCATTTATAAGGAAAGTTTGCCAGTTTTCTATCTTAGTCTATCTTTTTTTTTTTTTTATCCTCACCCGAGGACATTTTTCCATTTTTTGTTCAGATAGAGTAGGAGGGAGAGAGAGGAAGAGATAGAGAGAGAGAGAAACATCGACGTGAAAGGGACACATCTAGTGGCTGCCACCCGCACGACGATGTCTTAGTGCATGGGTCCACACTCAACCACTGAGCCACACTGGCTGGGCAGTCATAATCATTTTATAAAAGTAATAGTATAAGTAGAAAGTATTCAGCATGGGTTCTCTTAAACAAAGTCTTCAAGAACTACATGGATGGATAGATTTTATTATTTTCTTTGTACTCAAACACTGATATAATGAAAATATGATTTATTATTCATAAATTGCAATGCAAGTTTTCAGAAGGATTTCTGTTATGTTAAAGTACAATATAATTGTGCTGTGTATATAAACTTTTTCAGAGAAATTTAGAGACTTCCAAATGTAAAGATTCTTCTTCTTTTTTTTTTAATTCAAGGCTAATATGCTGTTCTGGAAGCCATAGCATGAGTATCCTTTTAAACTCTAGTTGAAAGCCACTTTTTTTTAAGTTATATGGCTTTGTGACAAATAGAAGGCATAAAAAAATGTTCTCCATGTTCTTGTGATTCATCTTTATATTTTAAGAAGTGTGGATTTGTTCTGTTTTCCTCATGTTTGTTTATTTGTTTGTTTCCTGAATGCAGTGTGAGTTCTAGTTCAGTGCTAGTTATTATCCAGAATTTATTAGAACAGGACATAGAAGAGGACCCTTGAGCAGAAATATACAAGTGTAAATAAAAAGAAAATATAAGGTATTGAAGGTTCCTTCACTCATGTCTTAGCCTCCAGCAGGAAAGAGTGCACTTTGGAAGGTTTCTGGAGGGATAATTTCAGCATGCAGCATCCAAATATCATGCATTCTTGACTTTGGATAGACTGCATTGCAATGTAATCATGGATTAAAGTCTATTTTCATTTCCTGCACGTACATTAAAGTGAGAGCCAGAAGAGGCAGCCTGGGACTTCCAAACAACCACTGCTGAAGAATGTTCTCCCCAGTATCATTTCCTGTGATGCTTCCTAATAAGTTGGATGGTGCTTTCATGTATTCACTTTGCTTCTTCTTAGAGAACATTTTCCTCTTATGGAATGAAAAAATGGGCCAGTTTTCTGTCATACTCTTTCTACATCTTTATTTTATAAGAAATGACAAATGCATTTCAGTGAGGTTTATGTTTCACTCGGGGCATGGGAGACTCTCAAGTATCCGTGTACAAGTGGTCAGTATATGCTTGCTGTCTCCGGGCATGAATGAAGAAAGGGGCTATCAGCCATTTAGAGTTCATTTGGGCTCTCTGGGAATACCTCATTTCAGAAACCCTCCCTGTGGTGCTAAATACATCAGTAAAGTTACAATGAAATGAAAAGAGGGGAGGAAAAACAATAACAAATCCCACTGATGCTAATTTACTGGGGAGTTGTTTCAGTGAAGGGCAGAAGGGAGGCAAATAAAAACTTGGTGGGGTTTTTTGTGTTTTTGCTTTTGTAGTGTGTGTGCGTGTGTGTGTGCGTGTGTGTGTGTGTGTGTGTGTGTGTGTGTGTGCAGAGAAAGGCAAGCTTTCTGGGGAAGGACGGCAATTAAAAAAAAAAAAGTACAGCTACTACAAGCAACAACATGGATGAATATTTGAAACATAAAAGCCAGGCATACAAGAGTTCAAACTATTTACATAGAGTTTAAGGACAGGAAAATGGCCTCCATACAATGGATGTCCATCAGTAGCCTGTGGGGAGGTGATTATTGACGGGGGAGGGCCATGAGGGAGCCTTCTGAGTGATGGAAATTTGTATCTTAATCTGGATGGTATTTACTTGGGTGTGTACCATATTATTAACATTCATCAAGTACTCTACTTTCTGTACTCAGGATTTTTGAACTTTATATAGCTCAATAGAAATTTTGATGATAATAAGAATAATGAAAATAGGTCATAGAGGGGGGTACCAAATTTAGCATGAATGCTTAAAATGCTGTCCTTGGAAGAAAAGCAAGGCAAACCCCTGGTCTAAAAACTCTGCTGAGCTTAACATAGGAAACTTTTCTGAATTAGGTCATTTATAGTAAGTTTTGTTGCAAAACATTTCAAATCCCAAAGGATGCTTAGCATGCAGTAAATTCACATTCATTTAGCAACAGCAAGGTGAAGGCTGCTGAGCTTAGTTCTCTTGATTCCTTGAGGACTTACTGCTTAAAAGCAATGTCTTTCTTTTTTTCTTTCTAGATTGGCAGATTGCTACTCTGGCTTTACTCTTGGGCGGCGCTGCCATCATTCTCATTGCATTCCTGGTGGGTTTGATTTCTATCTGCGTAGGATCTCGAAGGCGCTTCTACAGACCTGTTGCTGTCATGCTTTTTGCAGCAGGTAAATATGTTAACTACTTTCAAACTGGTATTAAAGTTGCATGAACCTTTCTACCATCCTCCCTCCTCATGCCGAAGCAGTATGTAGTTAAGCAGTTATGTACCAGTTGAGAGACATTTGTTGTATTTGAAGGTAAATTGACTAAAGGTTTATTGTATTATCAGTTTTTAGTGTGTTAAGCATTTCACAGAACACAGTGGCAATTTCTGAATTTCTAAAAGGTAAATACATAATAGTTCTTGACAGGGCTGTCAGCCTAGAAATTACAGCAGCTGTATTTACCTGTAGTCTTTCTTCTCATCCAGTCTTTTCCTACTCCCTTGGTGATATTCAGGCAACATTTTTTTTTTCTGACATAAAACTGAAATAAAACTCCAATATATGTACCCTTAAAGGTATAAATCTGTTTGGACATAAACATGGTTATGCTGAAAAATCATAATGTATAACTTGAACCATCAGGCATTTGACTTTTTTGAGGTCAATGGTATACTCATTAATTTAATAGCCATCATTTTATGAAGCGCTCTATGATTAAAATATCAACCAAGGTAAAAGGGAGGTATTACCAAAAGTCAGAGAGCTATTTAAAAAGGGGGCTTATAAGGCTAAAAGCCCAGTACATTATTTTATGTGCTTAGATTTTTATTTATAAGAATAGCCTTGAATATATTATTCTTTTTGACTCAAACTGAAATATTCTTGTGGTGCCTTCAATTTATCCTGTCAGTCATATCTGATTTGAAGACTGCAAAATAAACCCCTGTGACTGTCAATAATGAAGACACTGACAGAGCCATCTAGGCTGTTAGATGGATTTTATTAAGCTGTTTAAAGGTGGGAATAGATGAAATTTCTCAGGATTTGAAGGGTAGTTTGAGCTAAAAATATAAAATCAGAAGTGTTCTGCTGCCCCCTACTGTTTGTATTCATCTTATACCAATGAAGACTGATCAGAATGTATGTGTTTTAAAAATGAAGCGTCCAAAGGGCTGAAGGAACTTGGAAGTACATCTAATTCAAATCTCTTAAGTGACTTGCTCAAGATCACATATTAGTTATACTGGTGGATCTCACTCATTCATTCAACTGTTTATTGGATACCTATTCCGGACTTTTAATAGAGTAGAAAACACCATTACAAAAAAGTATTTTGAAATCTTAGGTGGTAACCGTAGTATCAATATTTTGTTGATCTTATGTGTAATAAAAGGTCTCTATTGTGAATCATATAGTATAATATAAAGACTCTCCTAAAGATTCCATCACTATTCTCTAGTTTATTTCTTGGCTCATGGATTTACCATGCTCTTTTTCTATTTTTTTGAATAAAATAACGTAGATATTTTAATTGTAGTGTAAGTTTGTCTTTGTAGCTAGGATTTATTAACATCGTGAGTAATCAAATTGTAATAGAATTTCTTGATAAGTTGTTCTGAAATGGTAGACCATTCTTTAAAATTGGCATTATGTTTTGAATAATTTTCAGAATACTCAGATATTTCTGAATTTAGAACAGTATATAGATATTATAGGCATTCTCTTATAAATATCTAATATTATTCTGCTACCTCAGTACTATCCCATTTAGCTTTTAACTTACCACATAATGACATATGCAGGATCTATAAAATTGTTGTTGATAGCATCTATTATAAACATGCTTAGAAAAGTAACTGGAAGTTTCCAGTTTTTTTTTTTTTTTCTAAACAGTTCTGTACATTTTTACAAGTATAGAAAACTTTGTGAAAATAAGTATTGATTGCAACAGAAAACATATTAAAAACGAAAATAAGTTAATGGTAATGGATTTGGTCAAAACAAAGATTTTGATTGAGCTCTAGCTACCACAAATATTAGTAAATTATAAAATAATGAAAGGAATCCCTATAGCAATATTCATATAGTGTTATTCTGCCCATTGAAACATAAAATGAACATCACACGGCTACATTTTAAAAATGTTCATGTGCTGCCTGGCCAGTGTGGTTCTATGGATTGAGAGTTGTCCCGTGGACTGAGAGGTCCCAGTTTGATTCTGGTCAGGGCACATGACTGGGTTACAGGCTAAATCCCCAGTAAGGAGTGTGCAGGAGGCAGCTGATGTTTCTCACATCAATGTTTCTATCTCTCTCTCTCTAAAAAAAAGGCAATGAAAACGTATTTTTTTTAAAAAAATTTGCTGTGATGGAAAGAAAAGAGGACTGTGAATTGTCCACTCCCTTAATTTATTAAATAAATAAAAATGTACATGTGCTGAGATTTGATTAGATTCATTCTCTTTTGACACTATGCATATGGAAGCTTTTTTTGAAGTAACTATTAGTTTAGTGTACACTTTGCATGTAAGCAAGGTAAAACTTGCTGGTTATTTGAAACATGCCACAAAAAAAGGTTTCTCTCTTCCATCTGCAAAAACCATTAAGGAGTTCTCTGTAGCTGATTTCTGAAAAAGATGCTCATTACACATAATAATCCATTACTAATTTGGGCCTAAGATTAACAAAGTTGGAAAATCTGCTGACTTGAAATAATGCTAGCTAAAATCATGGTGGTTTACTTTGCTTGCTTCTTAGTAAACATTCTAGTGGTTGACTTGTCTCATTTGTAATTCAGTTTAGGAATTCTTTTTTAAATATGTATTTGGGGCTCTTTTTCCTTTTTATTCATCTCGGTCTGCTTGAAAATGGTGTTTCTCCTCTTTTTTCAAAATGTTTTCTTCTCCAAATAATATCAGGCCTTATCATGGTATTCACACACATAGAAATGACGTCTTTCTCAACAAAGAAATATTCTCTTTTCTTCCGCTCAGACATGCAGCACATAAAATCAAAACAGATAAAGCACTGCCATTTGGAAACATCTCTGCACAGGACTGCATATTTATTTCATGAATTCAGTACCATGTGATGTGCCTGGTACTCTGAGGCACTCAATAAGTGGTCGAATGAATGATATAAAGATTACTAAGGTATGTGGCTTATAGTCTGATAGGCAGAAAAAGGCGTGCAAATAGCTGGCTAACTGTAATTCTATTTTTCTTAAATCATTTCTCTCTTTACAATTTTTGAAACAGCAAGTTTCATGTGACCACAAAGCTAAGACCAAAATAGCTGAAAACTTTTTTTTCCCATTATTCATGTTTTCATTCAGTTAACAAATATATGTTGGGTACCCATAGTACTAACTATACCTGGTGTTAGATAATATACTCTAAGGATTTTTACTAAAAGCTGATGATTAAATATTATAAAGCCAGCCAAACAGATTTTAAAAGATTTTTAATTTTTTTTTATAATTGATTTTACAGAGAGAGGAAGGGAGAGGGAGAGAGAGATAGAAACATTAATGAGAGAACATCAATTGGCCGCCTCCTGCATGCCCCCCACTGGGGATCTGGCCCACAACCTGGGCATGTGCCCTGATTGGGAATTGAACCGACGACCTCTTGGTGCATGGCTCGATGCCTCAACCACTGAGCCACACCAACCGGACTGTTTTGTTTTGTTTTTATCTTCTTTTTTCCTTTGAGTCCTCAATTTAAGATGGACTTTTTACCTACTTGAATAGGTGCTAGGAGAGCTAAGAGCTCTCTTAGTCACTGGTCCTAGAAGTCTAGATTTCAGAATAAGCTGTTATCTGTAATGTTTATAATAATTAACTGAGCAACTCTTATATGTCACACTGCTAGACACTTAGCATACTCTGGCTCTCATACAACAAACAAGATTCGGTATTTCTTTTCCCCATATTATCAGTGAAGAAATAGGTTCAGAAAAGTTAAGTAATTCCCCAGGATTATCCAACTAGTTAGATACAGAGCCAGGATTTCAGTTCAGGGCACCTACCTGACTTGAAAACCCAAGTGAGGATTCACCAGTCGTCTCTACTTGGGTATGCATAACATTTAGAGAAACAAGAGCAGAATCAACCTTGAATTTTGAATTCAGCTGCCAGCTGTAGGCTGCAGTTGGAGTCCATTCTGTAACTCCAGTTACTCCACCTCTTGGGAGCAACACCTGAAGGAAGGCAGCAACTTGAGATGTCATAAAGACAACTAACTGACCAGTGCAGCACGACTGAACTAAAGTACATCACGAAAGCTGTTCATGTTTCCAGTAGACTTTAGCATATTTCTCATTGTGTGACAATGATAGGTAACATAAGATTCTGATAACTGGCATCTAGTTCTCACTAAAGACTCAGTGAAATTAGAGGGTTTGCCTATTTCTGGGTCTTTTATTGTTTGGCTTTGCAGATCTTTTTATGCCCCACTGGCACTTACAATTATTCTTCTTTTTTCTTCCAAGGCCTTTAATACAAGTTGCAGAAAATTCCCAGTCATTCATAATTCAGATTTGAAACAGCAGAATTCCATTCCCACTAATTGCATTATTAATGATGTTTCCTTTCTTCTATCTGCAAAAAGCCTCCTGTAAATAACTTGATGTGAAAAAATGATTTTTTTCCCCCAGAGTTCAACTGTTTTACATCTCTCAGCTCTCTCTGATTAGAGCCTTGTGTTTTGCAGGCCTCCTTAGCATCGTATAGCACAGTGAGATGGCTGGAGGTATCGTGAGACTAGATTTTGACAGAAAAATTCATATCAAGCTTAAATTTCAAACCAAAAAGGAGTTCTGTTCACAGATCTTTATCAATATCGTACTACCCTTTGGCCAGAGCAATTGATAGTATGACTGCCAATAATTAATTTCATATGTATGATGACTTATTTTTTAAATTTATTTATTTTTTAATCCTCACCTGAGGATATTTTCCTGTTTATCTTCAGATAGAGTAGGGGGCGGGGAGAGAGAGAAACATAGACATGAGAGAGACACATGGACTGGTTGCCTCCCACACGACCCCGACCAGGACTGGGGATGAAGTGCAACCGAGGTACGTGTCCTTGACCAGAATCGAGCCTGAGACTCTTAGGTCCGTGGGTCGATGCTCTAACTGCTGAGCCAAACCGGCCAGGGCTATGTGTTAACTTTTAG